TTTGGAACCAGAGGTGTATTTCCGATTCTATTCTTCACAGAAACCAGAAAATATGTTTGGAACATAAACTTTTCCATACAATTCATAACATATACATAAAAAATACATTTAGTAGTTGCAATATAAACATAAATCAAACATTACAAATCAACTCTCATGTAGATGTTGCAACATCATGATAAATATCATCGACCGATCTTGTTATTATCTTATCTAGCTCGATCAGAACTTTCTCCTCAAAACTATCAAAAGTATTCCACATAGCCTGTAAATCAGCATCGTTCTTCAGCTCACGTTTGATGAACTCACGCTTCCTGTCTTTGTCAACCGATGGCGAGCGGTACTCGATCTTCACTACCTTGTTATTGTCTCCAAAAGGTACAAGTTCCTGTAATATTTCACGCACATCTTCAATAAGGGTGTACATTGTGATCTTAAATTCGCAAGATGGTGTAGCGCCGCTAAAGTGGACAACTCTAACATGCCATTTGATGTTTAATTTCATGTCCATTTCTGGTTTTGGTGTTGTGGTATGAAAAAATATAAGAAGTGAGGTTTTTTATATTAGTCGGAGGTAAACATTAACCATACAAATCCTATCTATGTGTTAGTGATAGAACCGAAAGTTAATTTTTGGTTTTTTACCAGAACTGGAACCGAAAGTATACTTCTGGTTAAGGCCCCAGGAGTAAAAAACCAAAAACAAAACAAAAACAACAACTTTTATAAAAAAAAAAAACTCATGTATTCAAATATTGTATTTTTGGTCAAACTACAAAAATGACTATACTTCCACATCATAATACATGAACAAAATGATGCTAACAATAAAATGTTTCCTAACTACTTGAATGAGCCAAAAAAAGTGTCGCCGGATAAATCCATCGGTGACACAACTTTTAATTTTCCCCTATTTTTTATATTTCAATTTGGTTCAACTTGTTGTATTCTTGCACCCTTTCAATGAATTCGTCTAGCCAGGTCTCGGATGGGTTTGTGAAATGAAGCGCCCACTCCGATGATGTAGGTGGTATAGGGCATCCCGATTTCAAATAGACTTAAACAAAATTCCGCAGATTTGAAACCCAGCCAACACATATGACACGATCATTGGGATTTGGTGTTGGAGCAGTGCAAATAGGGAAACAAGTATTCGAGAAACCGTATCTTGTAAGATTAATACACACCCTCTCATACGCACTTGCTATGAGATATCCAATTTCCGGGAAGCACGTCCATTTATCCTCTGGTGCAGATCCCACCTTGGTAGGTACAAGTGTGTGATATATTTCCTCAACCTTATTTTTACTCCCCAACACACGAGTGTATAATTCTCTATTTCCCGTCAACTCTCGGATAAGGGTATCTCAAACAATATTGTAATACTCTTCCCCTCTATCGAACAAATCAGAAAATAGCTCAAAAACCACAGTTACCGTCACCCCCGACATTAAAGATCCGACCAATGTACTTGTACATAAAAACCGGCATGTGATCGATGAATGATATTTTGGGTAGAGTCGGTGTAAGAGGTGGTTTGGGTGGAGTCGGTGTAGGGGGTGGTTTGCTAATACGAGCTCATTTGAAAGCACTTTTTTGAGATTTCAGAGTAGGTGAATCGGGAAAAACTTTGTCAAGATGTTCAAAATATGAAGGACTTTTCATAGTCGAACTGTCTCCCGGTGTCGGTTTCACCTTCTTAGGTGCTCCTTTAATTTTTACCGATTGGAATGATGGTAACAAGTTTGTGGTCTCCGAAAACACAATCTTCCTCAATTGTTCTTTAATGTGGAGTTTGGTGGCATCATCGACTTTCAAAAAAAAATCTTGTATCACTTCCCATTCGGTCAAGATGGAGATATTTGATTTATCTATTTTCATTTTACCGTCATCGTCAAAACTTAGTCTCTCCCAATGACCAGAGACCTCGTCCATACGTATCAGGCTATCATTTTTCATCTTCTTAGATATGACACAAACACAAGGGAGACCATATGTTTTCACAATTGTGCAATCACACTTTGAGCTGTCATAACCTACATTAGAAGCTCGTTTGACCTCGTAAAAAATAAAGTTCGGAGCTGCCCAAGATATGTTACCAACCAACTGAGAATATAGCGTGTTATTCTTGAACCTGTGTTCGAACACCGTAATACTACGACCAGATGTTGTTTGTATCTCGTTATGTTGGTTTAGTAGCATCTGGTTCACCGATTCCCAACCCGTAATCAAATCACCCTTTTTATTTCCAAGTCAATTCTTCAGATATGCATGCGCATATTCAACTCAGTTTTTTGTTGTATTACCGAGGTGCATAACCTGGTCGGTCCAAGCACAAACAACCTTCTCCTTAGCCTGATCAAGAATTATGCTTTCAACATATTTCAATAGACCAGGACATTTCACGCAAACATTCCTGAACTGTAAAACAACATATGCGTATAACTCTTTTATTGATGAATGTATGATAACATTCCATGTATTCATGATTTTCTCCATAATGATGCCCGATTTGACCAATTTTCCATCTTTGCCTGCAACCTATTTTGTCCCCGCTGCGAGTTTAACCAGACTTCTCACATTTTTAGTAATATGGTACCTACAAAGTAATGTGTAAGAAGTGAGAAATATAGTTGCAACCGAATTCATTAATATTGTATCTCGGCCGGTAACAATGACTTTTGACATATCCTCTTGATCATTCAACATTTACCTACAAACCTCTAAAGTCCATGCAAAGTTGTCCTCTTTTTTGCACTCTAGAAATGCAAAATCAACAGAATACGTCTTCTCAGTCGATGTAACACCAACAATTTTCAACAATGAAAGCTTGTACTTGTTGGTCTTATACGTTAAATCAATTATGAGCACGGTAGGAAACGTATTAAACAATTTAATGGAATCAGGATGAGTCCAATAAATATCTCTTACTGTTACCCCATCATCACCTCGTCGGTGCCTATAAACATAATTGTTTTCATCTAGAAGTTTCAAGAGGTGTTGCATCTCGATTCGATCCTCACTAAGCGCTAGTTTGGTTTGATAGCGCTTATTGTAAACTTGTTTGATATTTGATGTGTTCTCGGATCTCTTGAGCTTCAAGGTTGCAAGTATATTTTTGGACGGTACCAAATTCAAAGTTATATCAGAAACACATGCCTTCTCATTTGGAAGGAGCCGACATGCAATTGGATGACCGACTAACTTTTGAGTTAAATCATAATTGTGTAAATCGCATAGCACATTAAATTTCCATTTCTTATTTGTTATAAGATACCAAACAACTTAAATGGACATTCACATTTTCTTGAACCAGTGTCGTCACGTTTGAAATTTTAGATACGACGTATGTATTTTCCACTTCTTTCGCATGTCAAAATCACATATGCATTTCTTCTATTCGTACCATTATCGGACCTTCCAATCACAACACCAAATCCTAGTTTCGTAGCCTCTATACGAATTCACTGCAACATGTCTTCAAGTAATTGAAAGTCTTCAACATTTTCAAATTGCTCCCGAACATCTACCACCTTAATTGCGAGGGAGAAACCACGATAGACGAAATAACTTGAGACACATCAGGTTTGGGATTGTTATCGGAGTGCACCATACCTAATGTTAGATAAAACACAAAATTTAATAACATATCATATTGACAGACTGCTGTAAAAAAAACACAGACAGAAACCGAAAATTAACTTGCGGTTCTGTTCAACTAACAACCGAAAGTATACTTCTGATTTGTGCGTAACCTTTTTGTATAGAAAAGAACAGATTAATGTAGGGAATGAAGGGTGAAATGAATAAATTTTACCTGAAATTCTACTTCTTTGAGCTCTTTCTGATATGATGAACCACAAAAATGATGATTTGGAGTGAAAAATGGATTGAGAATGATGAGGGTTTTTGAGAGATTTTTAGAGAAGAAAGAAGAAATGATGGTGATCAAGCATGAGCATACCGATTACTGTTTTAAGTAAAATGTATATTTCATAAAACCAGAAATATACTTTCGGTTCTATATGAAATGCCAAGGTGGCAATAAAATTCAATCTTCCCACTAATAGAACCGGAAACAGAATTCCGGTTTTGAATCAGAAATATACTTCTGGTATTGTTTTTTTCATTTTTAAAGGCGGAACCACAAGTGGCCTGTTTTGTGGTAAATATGGTGCGAACTGGAAGTCATTTCCGATTTTCAGAAGCATAAATTCAAAATTGTATAGGGTGTCTCTTTTCCATATGGAGTGGGTAAAGAAATTCTTTAAAGAGTGTGGACGTTGTGCAACTATTTTTTCCAATCCAAAACAAATAATATGAATAAAATAAACATAAATAAACCATCACACAACATATTTTAGAGAATCTGATCCTCATTCGGATAACATCATTACAATTTGAATTAAACACCAAGCAAGTACGTATAATTTGTCTTCAAATACTACGTCAACAACTAAAACATGATAAAGCCAATATAAATAATGTTTGCTTACAATCTTTGAAAGTTTTTATTCACAATTTATCATAAATCAAAACAAAATAGAGATATATGTTGTAACACAAATTTAAAGGTTTTTTACTTTCTCAAACAAAATAAATGACAATCAATGCATTTTGAATTTTTCCAAAAGCAAGAAAATTGATTTGGTCATTAACATAAAAGACAGAGTTTGCATTGTTTGCTAATAGCATAGAGTAGTTTGTTTTATGTATAATTGAGAGAGTTTTCTATCAATGTACAGTAATTAGCTGAGAGTTCAAAAGTAAAACTAAAGGGATAAAGTGTGTTAATTGCAAAAATAGATTGAAAATGAGTGGAAGGAACATGACCCTATAATGTGATTCAGTTTTCACTGCCGAGACATTCTCAGCAAGCCAACAAATCCCCTAGCTGCTAGGAAGCAACATGAGTGCTAGATATAAGCAGAAGATTAATGCTATGATCACACTCCAATCTATTAATGCCACACTACCTTTTTTTAATCTTTACCTGCTCACTAGTTTTGGTTACGTGACTGCGGCTCCGGCTGCTGGGATTTGACTTTTGCAAGTAAATCATTTATCTGACTTCCTGTAAGTGTCTCATGCTCCAGAAGAGCATTTGCAAGTGCATGAAGCTCCTTTTCATGGGTGGTTAGGATAGTTTTTGCATTGTTGTAAGCTCTATCCAGTAAGTTCTTCACTTCATTCTCAATAAGCAGCCTAGTTTTTGAGCTCATACTTCTCCCATTATCAAAGTAATTGTGAGTGACCGGACCGACTTCAGTACTCATACCATACTTTGTAACCATTTCCCTGGCCAAAGAAGTTGCCTTTGCAAAATCTGAGGATGCACCAGAAGTAATTTCACTTTCTCCAAAAATCAGCTCTTCAGCAACCCGACCTCCCATACTAACATCAAGCCTAGCAAGCATCTGTTTATGGGAATAATTGGTTTGATATTTGTCCGGCAGTTGAGAAACCATGCCTAGAGACCTCCCATGCCGAACAATAGTTGCCTTTTGAATCGGACGCGCACCATCAGTATATTTTGCCACTAAGGCATGTCCACTCTCATGGAAAGCTAAAAGCTTTCTTGACTTTTTAGACATAACAGTTGATTTGCGTTCGCTTCCTATCATAATCTTCTCTCGCGCAAACTCTAAATCATGGATGCTCACGGCTTTGGCGCCAACCTTTGCAGCCCTTAGGGCAGCAACATTGACCAAGTTTGCAAGGTCAGCACCAGATAACCCTGGTGTACACTGAGCAGTGATCATCAGATCAACATCATCCGCCTTCAGAACCTGGATCATATTGGAGTAAGAAACAAACATGAGAAATTTCCTTCTAAGTTCTAACAATTCTATATTACATTAGGCATTGTAACAATGCTATATTGGTACAATGCCTGCACACGTATCTCAAAAACTTTAAGCCATTCAACTCAAGATACAAGAAAAATATTCTTCCAATAGAGTAAAACAATACCTTTGACATCAGAGATTCCAAAATCTGTTGTCGTCCTTTGAAATCTGGATTGGGAACAACAACACGGCGATCAAATCGCCCAGGTCTCACCAAAGCCTTATCTAGTGACTCCTCAAAGTTAGTAGCACCAATCACAATTATGCCTTCATTTTGTTTGAATCCATCTAGCTCAACAAGCAATTGACTTATCGTCACGTGCAATTGGTCATTTGGATTTCGTTTTCGACCAATAGCATCAATCTCATCAATAAAGATTATACAAGGGGCGCGTTTTTTTGCAGCAGTAAAAAGATCTCTCACCCTTTGTGCACCACTACCATCATACATCTTTTCAAATTCACTTCCATTGCACAAGAAGAAAGGAACCTTTACATCTTCAGCAATAGCTCTTGCCAACATTGTTTTACCAGTGCCAGGCGGGCCAACAAGCAAGACACCTTTTGGGAGTTTACCACCAAGACGAGTAAAGCGCTGTGAAAAGGGAACGGAGTTATCTCAAGATAGTACAAAACAATACAGAATCTGATCTTGAAGAAAAGGATATATAATATAAATTAAGAGTAAGAAAACTGGATATGACATCAAGAGAGTCACACAAAATTTAGGTTCAACATAGAGCACAAACCATTTTAAGCATTTATGTTAAACTTGTCACGCGAACTTATTGTCAGATTCAAACAAGAAAAAGATTGGACACCAATTAAAACAGTAACTGAGACCGATGAGAAACATGATAAATCGAATTACAATCCATTGCAAAAGCATGTAGACAGAATAAATAAATATATGAAAAAATCTGGCTATAAATAGTAGGGAACATGCTAGAATCTGTAGGGAAGTTAGAAGTTAGGGGATAATGAAAACTAGTACAACAGATAAATGAAAGAGGATAAATGAGAGAGAACATAATAACATAAAAAAGTAAAAGTAGAACAAAAATAATTACTGTGAAATAAAGACATAAACAAGAATTAAAAGAAAGGAGAGCAGAAAAAAACACAAGGAGAAAGAAATATATACAAAAGAACAGAATTAATGAGCATGCAACGTGAGAAGAAAGAGAGAGTGGCAGCACCGTTTGAAACTTTGAAGAATCAGAATGAGAAACACAAATGAGAGTCTGGAAGAATTTGTTATGCGGTTTTAAGTTTGAAGCCTAACCCAACAAGAAGCTCTATTTATGCATACAAACTCAGTCCAACTAATGTGTTACCAACAGACAGTTATCACACTATATTAGCCATATTTTGATTATTTGATATTGAGTTAGCATATTGAAAGCTACAACCCCAGTAACTAAGGAAGCATATAAAAAACCTAAGGATAAGAGTATGTGCTATATACATCCAATTTGTTTCAAAATTATTAATCAGAGCAATAGAACTGATTTCTCAACAACTTTGACTATTTGCCTCTTGTATTAAAACGACATTTTTCTCGTCAACAAAAGAATTATCACTATTTCATAACTTTGTATCAATATCTCAAGACCCAAAGAATAACAAAACTTCCCATAGCATCATACAAGTAATCAAAGGTATTGAAATAGCTTAGGACACATGTCAATCATATAACTATTTCAATTGAGTGTGAGAAATGCATGCAAGAGAGAGAAAGAGCATGGATTTATGCGGAAAAGCCTACCTTAGGATCTCTTAAGTAATCAACAATTTCTTCCAGATCAGCCTTTGCCTCATCCACACCTTTCACATCGCTAAATTTAGTACTTGTCAGCAGATTGGGTTGCACTTCTTCATACATGCCAAGTCCTAAGAAAGGTGAAAAGTGTAAAAGAAAAAAGGGTAAAAAACAAAACAGAGGACATGCCCATCAAATTCAGTGATTTGTAAGTTATGTTAACACAAAATACCTTTACTAATTCGTTCATACGCGATGAAAGCTCCTACACCACAAACTAAGATGAAGGCCAATGCAATCAACCAAATTGTACGCAATTGCTGGTCTTTGAAATTTCCAAGAATTTCATCTTTTGTAGGTTCTCTCACACTTCTAAGAACAGCTAGGCCACCTGTACTACTTTCTTCCTTTCTCACTGAACTAGGAATAGCTGAAAATTTAGCCAAATATTCAAAAAGCTAATTCAAAAAGTAGCCAAATAACAAATTTGGACAAGTGGATAATTGCAATGACAAGTTTTGAATTCTGCAGACACCATAGGTCTGCATAAGATTTCGGATTTGGTACATCCGTCACTTATTTATCCCATCCATGAAATGCAATTTTTATGAAATTATACTAGTTCCTATCACTAAACGAAAGGTCAAAAGAGGTATCATGATTGTGATTGAAGGATTGCAGTATTACAACGAAGACAAAAGTACGACTCTCTTGTTCACAATGATTATAAGTGAAATATCAATCAATCTTCATAATCCCCAACAAAAGATTATGATTAAAGTTACCCTAATACACAGCAAATTAAGTTTCTAAATGCAATGCAAATAGATCCACGCCTTCAGTCTTTTTACTTGGGTGAAAAATTTTAATTTCTTGAGCAAGGATAGAAGATCAAACAGAGCAAAGCACAATGAGATGCAAACATACTCAATAGAAAATGAGACAATTCTAGCCAATTAGTCACCTCTTATCAAATTCTTGAGAAATTCACTTTCTCCCAGCCTGTCAACTTTTACTAATGCTTCAACATACACGGTAAAAGCCAAATGATTTGTATGCAAAGATGGATCACTTTCAAACGCTCTAATCACGACTTCAGGATCATTTTGATCATCAGAGCCTTCCTTGGCGTTCGATGAATCACTTGGTGGTCCGGACAGGTTTCCTAGAAACCTGAACTGAGATCTCTCCCTAGAGAAGAAAAGCCCACTCCCTACATAAATTCAAGAATAGCTAAAGCCAATAATAGTTTCCCAAGTACTTCAAACAAGAATAATATAAAAAAGTAACAACGCAGCAGCTTATTGTCCGTTTCCCTTCTACTCTGTATACACTTTATTACCTTGAAACTTATTACAAGATTCATAATTTCGACTCGATAAATCTTTGATCATTCCAAATTCTGATGGACGCCTTTCAACCTGCAAATGTAACAAACAAGCCTCAACCTAAATGTATGCATTGATTCCATTACTATATCTCCAATTCAAGAAAAAGAAAAATCACACTGAATTAATCAAAATGCAAACATTGTAAACCCTAACCTGCGTTCGAGCTCGAAAGATTGAAGGACTAAGCTGCTTTGCGAAACGTCTCCAAGCCATGTCGTCGGAATAGAGCAAAACGACAGTGATGAAAGCCGTTTTGGAGAAGAAAGAACGGAGCAGTTGAGAAAATGCAAAAAACAAGATGATGGATGATGAAAAGAGAAACGCAGAAGCATGTATGAACTTCTTCGCGTAACAGAAATGATTTCAAAAATCACCATGTAACTGAATTCATCATTGACTAACTAACTCGCTGCTCTCTTTTTCTCCCTCTCTCTGCCACGTCAGCATTATTCAACGGGTTTTCTTTTGAGGGTATGATTGTTTCTTTGACTTCCTATTTCGCAAGCACCAAGGTCTTCGACACTTGAAGAGTTTCCTTTCTCTTTTAATGGAAAAATGCTATACTCAACATTTTCCGAGGCCTAAAACTAATTTAAATTAAAGCCTTTTAATTAGAAAAAAAATTTATAGAAAATTTAAGAGGATGTTTAATGTGATTATACAATATGGTAGGTTAATTCAAGCATTTATTTTATCCGGTCTATGTATGGTAAATTATAATTTTATATTAAATATTTTTTCTTGTAATGATACTTTTATCATTTATATATAATAATATATACTATTTTTTATCTAGATTTTTTATTTTTTTTTTATTTTCACTTTATTAGATACTATGACCTCCGTCCTAAAAGAGAAAAAAAAATATTTTTCTTGTTTTAAAATATAAGAGAAAAAAATCACTTTCATCTTTTTAAAGTAAAATTAAATATAAAGTGTATTTAGTCTGTATTCTCTTTTATCTTTTCTATAATGAACAATCAATTAGATTTGTTTTTACATCTTCCAAAGCACTTTATTTCAAAAAAATCACAAGTCAAATGATTATGTTTTTTATTTTTTTAATAAGTGTGTTTTTTATTTATTTTTTTCTCTTATATTTTGAGACCGAGGAAGTACCGAAGATGTTTGTTGTTTAAGTTATGTACATCAACAAATATTAAATTAAAATGCAGATCAATATTGTACATACACTCTCAATCAACAACCATATTCAGACCTTGTGTGTAAGATTTGTGGTAGTTATCATATCAACGACTATAAGTTATGAACTAAAATGCTATTTGAAATAGCGCCTGAAAAATAAATTATAAGTTAGTAAAATAAGTTATAAGCTCGTGATAAAATATTTGTAATCACATATGTATTTTATTGTCATGTGAACTTATAAGTTATAAACTCAAAATTTCAAAATATTTTATTAGAGTATGTAAAAAGAGGCAGTCATGAGTGGCTTGATAGAGTCATAATTTTTTTTGGTATTGACCCAATATTTATATTTTCTCTAAGGAGACAAGACTCTTTAGAGAAGATCAAACATATATATTACCTCTTAAGCAGCAAGGACTCTTCAGAGAAGATCTAACATTTATATTGTCTCTTGGACGACAATAACTCTTAAGAGAAGATCTAACATTTATATTCATTCATCGATTATATTTTGCAAAAAAAAATGATAATGAATATTTTCAAAAGAGTTTACATATGGTAGACGAAATGCCTCCCACCTTATTAAAGTAGAAAAAAAGATACGACTAACTATAATAATAGTACCTTAGGTTAACTAAGTTCCATGTTTTAAGGATGAGTCTTCCATCTAACTTCTCATGTTTATAAGTTTGACGAGGTAACTTCTGACATATGTGGTATGAACTTTTTCAGTTAGGTTGTAGCTTTCTTAGACGGACTGGCAGAATAACTTGTCTGAGCACTAGATTGCCCTCTTGCATTTTTCATGAAACCACTTTGGAGTTGTATCTTCTAGAAACTTTATATTTTGCTGTGAATTCTCTGATGTGGGCGACGTCGTAGGATTTGTAACACCCCAGTTTCAATTTTTGATTTATTTAAATTTGGGAAATTATTTTATTAGGATTAAAAAAATAAAAAGGAATTATTTATTTTGGAATATTTGAAGAAAATAAAAGAAATAAGAAATATTGAGATTTTTAAGTCATTGGGCTTAGATGTTGTTAGTAAAGAGTGGGGGTGCAGAGAAATAAAGTTATGGTTGGGACTTAGGCCATTTTCTCATTATTCACGTTAACACAGAAGTTGGAATTTGGGAAAATAGAGCTCTGAAGGTACGAGGAACGGAGAACGAAGAACACCGCCCAAGAACTCAAAGCTGCTAATTGATAAGGTAAGGGGGGTTTATACTCGGTTTATATTTGTTTATGGGTTTATGTACGGTTGATTCGGGTAATTGCAGGAAAATCCCAATTGTTAGATGTTTCTAGGGATCGATAACCGTAGGACTGAACCTTGTTAGAAAAGGGTTAGGTTCCCAATTTTTATGAATCGATTAAGAGTTTTAGGTCCCAAATGAGGAATTGGGAGTATATATCATGATCGTGAATTTACCTTGGAAGTTGTAGGGATAACCTCAGTGTCAGTAGAATTCCCCAAAAGGACGGTTAATCCCCGATTAAGGTTATTATAATAATTGTTGGTAACTTGGATATTGTGGTGTTGTTGTGAATTGTACAAACTCGATGCGTTAGGTACTGAAATGCGCGTTTTGGCGGACGTTTTTCCGCGTTTGGACTGCTGTTTCTGAGCTGCTGCAGGTTCAGGAAAATCCTGTACGCGCTCAGCAACACGGGCCGTGTTGCACAACACGGGTGCCCGTGTTGCTCCTCTGTGTTGAGAGGTGGTGTGCTCTGGTTGCACGACACGGGCCGTGTTGCACAACACGGGTGCCCGTGTCAGATCCCCTGTACTGATAAAAATAAAATGTGCGTTTTTCTGGACGTGCTGCACAACACGGGCCGTGTTGCACAACACGGGTGCCCGTGTTGCTCTGCTGTGATGATTTCCTGAATTTTTGGTTTCAGTGTTTTGATGTTGGATTTTATTGCCATGCTTTTAGATATGTTATCGAGCATGAATTATGATATAATTGATGTGATTGGTTGATGTTTGAATAGTATGCTGAGTGATTACATGCTATTCGTAACTTGATATGATTGATGTTTAAATAGTATGCTGAGTGGTTACATGCTATTCATATCATGTTATGTTTGATATTGTTGATGTGCATGATATGTTGATCGATGTTCATAGTATGCTGAGTGTTACATACTTACATATCATGTTGCATTTGTTAATTCCCATTGTGTGGAATTAACATGGTGGCCAATATACGTGTCCGCGATTTAATGGAACGTTGAGGTGGTAGCCGTGTCCGCGATATAATGGAACGGTGAGTTATCTGTGACCCGAGATTTAATGGGGCGGTGAAGTGGTACCACATGCATGGGTGTGTTGCATTAACTTGAATATAACATGAATGGATGATTTTTCCAATGTTATATTTGATTGTTTGTATGCACGTGTGATTGATAAATGGTTGATGATGTTTGATGAATATTTGCAAATATGAAAGGCAATATGTCATGGATATATGAATTGTAAAGGTTGTGTAAATTATGAAATATGCTAGTTATTGGGTGATGCTTATGATTTCATGAATTGATTGTTATGAACGTATAACCAAATGTATATTTGAGAAGCTCACCCTTACTGTTGAATATTTCAGATTGAGGAGCTTCGCTCAGGTGCTTGGCGAAGGCTTATCGTGTCTAGTTTAGTTTTGTTCTAGTATGTCCGGGTCATGCTCTGATAGTTGTAACTCCGGGAACGTTTGGTTGTCGAGCTGCTTTAGTCAGACTCGTTTATTCCTTTTATTGTTATAATATGACGTTGACTTTCCAGGTGTTAATCCCTGATGACTTTGAAAAATATTATAACATTTGATTTTATTAAATAAATTATTCCGCTGTGTAAACATGTATGAGTTACCACTAAGATTATGCATGACAGGAATTTATTCTATTAAAAGAGAATTGTAGCATTCCTCGATGATACATGTACTCTGAGTTTATAATTTTAATTAATCGCGAAAATTTATTCGGGGTTTTAGAGGGTGTTACAGGATTCATCGATCAGGCCATTTATACATCCAAGTCGTGACTCATTTTCCTCTTCATTGAATTGAGAGCGCCTTTATGTAGGCATATCGATTTTGACAAGAAGCATGACGTCAATGTCGTATACTATCGTGAATGGAGTCTCCTTAATAGTTTAAAGGGGGTTGATATGTTATGACCATAAATACTTCACAGGATTGTTCAACACATAGCCCATTGGCCTCATCTAGATTTTTCTTTATCTCGCCCAGTATTACTTTGTTCGCTAACATAAACTTTTGTTCGCCTGTGGATGGACAACTCCAGTGAAATTCATCTGCACCACTAGGTCAAATGAAACTCAAATGATTTATTTAACCCCCTCTTTTAGACTACTTGACTCTCATATTCTCCACAAATAATTGACATCAAAGCTAGTCTTTTGACCAGGTCTTGCAACTTCAAAAGTTAAGGATATGAGTGAGAACGACATAAAGGGTGTGTTCAATAGAACTCTCGTATTCTAAGAGGAACTAATACATTTGAAAGGTCATCATGTTGATTACCCGATATCAATTAACTGAATGACCTAGAATTATATGAAACAATATAATTTTATTATGTTAACAATTATTAATCATCAATTAGAAATCCAAATAGACTTTATTCTAATCAAGATTGTGGTGACAAAGTATTGGTGAATATGTGATAAGTAGGGCGTATATGATAAGTACGGAGAAGAGTATCACTAAACGTGTATCTTTTCTTCAGTGAGGGGGAATTCAAATACAACTTCAAACAGACATGTCTTAGACCATATTTTAGCGGGTGATATTTGCTTCTTTCAGTATAATGATCATTTTCATACGCGTTGATGAAAGATATTTGTCGGTATTCATATTTACCTTGGAGAGTAATGAGGCGGTTTAGATTTGTGTTTACTGATGACTTCTCGACAAGTGTATCAATAATGTCGGAGTAATAAAAAGATATCGTATCCACATGGACGGCTATTTAACCAGAAAAATCTTGTGCAATGTTAAGAAAGTAACAAACTGGGGGATTTTTGAGTTTTAATTGCGA